TATATATATATTCAAAAAAATGTGTTACCTGTTTACCGTTATATAATTATTCTTTTGGTGGCTTTGGCCTTGGGGTTAGGAACGGAGGAGGCACTTCGCTACTTGATTTCGCCAGGGCTTTCGAGCTTTTGATTGCGAACTCGTCATTTCAGAAGAGGGAGGAGCATTTGGTTACTTTCAAAGTTCGGGGCGAGGACTCAGAATGATTACCTCCTCTCTCAGAGGAGCGATAGAGGATTGTGCAAGGACTGTAAGGTTATTCCAGGAGAGTCCCTTCGACTTCTTCAATGAGACTTCCTAGTGGTGGATGTCGGTCTCTGGGTGAAGAGGAAGAGGAGGGGTGCTCGGGGCAGGCCGCAGATTAGATGGGGAGCTTTGACTAAGGAGAAAGCCAGGAGTTGGGAGAGGAGGTTAGCTGATGGTGGAGCTTGGAGAAGTTCTGGGGAAGCGGACGCTATGTGGTGCAGAGACGGCGATACTTGGTTAGGGAGGCAAGCGTGGATGTGCTCGGGGTAGCCAAGGGCTATTCAGGCAGACATCAAGGCGACTGTGTGTGAACGATGTAGTCCAAGGAAAAGTGGAGGCGAAGAAGGCGGCGTTTGCTAAGTTGGCAGGGAGCTCTAGCGAGGAAGAAAGGAGAGTCAACAGGGAGAGCTACATAGGTGGCGAGGAAGGAAGCGAAGCTGGGCGGTCACGGAAGCAAAAAATGCGGCGTTTGGTCGCATGTACGAGGAATTGGGGGAGAAAGTGCGGGGACAGGAAGTTATTCGGGTTGGCGAAAGTGAGGGAGAGGAAGGGCGGGATCTAGACCAAGTTAGGTGCATCAAAGGACGAGGATGGTAGAGTTTGATGGGGAGTCTCAAGTTCAAGCAGAGGTGGCAGGCGTACTTTTGAGACCTGCCTTAACGAGGAGGGGGATCGAGACGTAGAGCTAGGGGAGTTGGGGAATTCAGAGTGTCATAGAGACCTTGGGTACTGCTAGGCGCAATAGGGTGGAGGAGGTCGTGGGGTGCTTGCGTAGGATTAGTAGGGTCGAGCGACCAGGCAGATGAAATCCCGGTGGAGTTCTGGAATGTGCATGGGTGGTCAGGAGTAGAGTGGCTATCCAGGTTGTTCAATGTGATCTCAGGACTAAGAGGATGCCGGAGGAGTGGAGGTGGAGTACAGAGCGCCGTTTGTATAAGAACAAAGGGGATTCCAGTGTTGTAACAACTATAAGGGTATCAAATTACTAGCCACACCATAGAAAGTCTGGGAGCGGGTGGTTGAGGCGAGGGTGAGGGAGATGACGTCTGTATCCGTGAGCCAGTTCGGTTTCATGCCGCCGCTCACTACGAAGCTATCCACCTTGTCAGGAGATTGGTGAACACTTCAGGGATAAGAAGAAGGACTGCACATGGTGTTTATCGACTTGGAGAAGGCGTACGCAAGGTCCCAAGGGAGGTGCTATGGAGGTGTTCTGGAGGCGAAGAGCGTGCCCGAAGCCTACATCAGAGTGATCTAGGACATGTACGATGGAGCTAAGACTAGGGTTAGGACGGTGGGTGGCGACTCAGACTATTTCCCCGGTGTAATGGGGCTTCATCAAGGATCTGCACTTAGCCCTCTCTATTTTGGCTTTTGATGGATGCTATAAAACACGCCATATTCAAAGGGATTGTGCCATGGTGTATGCTATTTGCTGATGACATAGTCCCTGTTAGACGAGACGAGGTCGGTGTTAACGAGAGTTTGGAGGTCTGGAGAAAGACTCTCGATCCAAGGGTTTCAACTAAGCAGGGCTAAGACAGAGTACCTGGATGCAAGTTTAGCGCCGAGCCGAGCGAAGTAGGCAGGGACGTCAAGCTTGGATCCAGGTCATCGCCAAAGAGGGACAGTTTCAGATATCTTGGGTCCGGTGATTCAGGAGGACGGAGAGATCGACGGGGATGTCACTCACCGTATAGGGGCGAGGTGGTCGAAATGGAGGCTTGCATCAGGAGTCTTGTTGACAAAGAAAGTGCCACAGAAACTCAAGGGGAAGTTTTATAGAGCTGTGGTTAGACCTGCCATGTTGTATGGGGCTGAGTGTTGGCCGGTGAAGAACTCCCATGTCCAGAGAATGAAGGTTCGGAGATGAGGATGCTCAGGTGGATGTGCGGGCTCACCAGGTTAGATAAGATTATGGAATGAAGTTATTCGGGAGAAGGTGAGGGTGGCCCCAGTAGATGAGAAAATGCTGGAAGCGGGCTCAGGTGGTTCGGGCATGTGCGGAGGATAAGGCCCCGATGCCCGCGGTGAGGGAGGGTTGTGAGCGGCTGGCGGTGGTTGGCCGAGTCGAGGCAGAAGGGAGGCCCAAGAGGTATTGGGGAGAGGTGATTAGGCAGGACATGGCTTAGAATGCAGATTTCCGAGGACATGACCCTTGATAGGAAAGTCTGGAGGTCTAGTATCAGGGTTGTAGGATAGGGGCTTCTAGAATTTTTCGTACTTCTGTCCCGGGGCTGGGGGGGGGGGGGGGGTTGGTAGGGCTCTCCATAGATGATCTGTGTATTGTATTGTGCCCCCTTATGGTAGTTACTGGTCGATATATTTGCATGCCATTTTATTTATGGGTTATGTTTAGATAATTATTTATGTGATTTCTGCTGGAGTTACTAATGCTCTTTTGTTTTTGTTTTTGTTTTTGTTTTCCTTTTCCTTTTCCTGAGCCGAGGGTCGATTGGAAACAACCTCTCTGCCCTTTCGGGTAGGGGTAAGGCCTGTGTACGTATTACCCTCCCCAGACCCCACCTTGTGGGACTATACTGGGTAGTTGTTGTTGTTGTTGTTGTTGGTTGTACGTCATGTCTCTGTATTACTAGGCTCAAGTGAAGTAGTGATCACTGACTCTTTACTACTATGATTTTTGGCTATAGTTGTGAATGTGTGAAGTTCAGTTCTACATGTGATTGTCAGAATGATGATCACTGGAGCTTGCACCACCTTTGACTTTACTCCATCTATCTCGTATTGTTTGACATATTTTAGCCCGTCAAAAACATAAAAATAAAATGTCTAGATGGTAAAGTTTGCTATCTTCAAAAGATTGCTAATATATTTAACTAATGTTAAACTTGATGTGATGTATTTTCAGGTTTTTCATCTAATATATCATAGCATGTTCATTGAACTCTAATATAATTCAATGTTCTTTTTCCTTTGGAAAGTCAACTACGATAATGACAATGGGGACCAGTGGAGTATATCTGTAGGTGTTATAATAAGACTACATATAATGGAGTGCTTAGCTAGTAAGATTATGTATATAATGGAGTGCTTGGGGTCAGCCTGCTAACATATTGAAGCTTTTTTATGGACATCCCAATTAAAAGTTTAAAACTGCATTCCATTGTCCAACAACTGCAGCTAATTCCAACATGGGAAAAATAAACACTGCATAGCAGGAGTAAAGTATTAATTCGAATATTACACGAAATGTAGGGGCGCTTGAAGATTGCAGACTTTGGGTGGTCTGTACAATCTAGAAGCAAGAGACATACAATGTGCGGAACTCTGGACTATCTAGCACCAGAAATGGTGGAGAACAAAGCTCATGATTATGCAGTTGACAATTGGACTCTGGGGGTTCTTTGTTATGAGTTTTTATATGGTGGGCCTCCATTTGAGGCCGAGAGACAGACCGACACATTCAAAAGGTAAAGATTGGCCTGCTTCTGTCATCTTGTAACTTTTTCAGGAATCAAGATGTACTAACTTAAAGTAATATAGAATTATGAAGGTAGACCTCAGCTTCCCCCCAACACCTGAAGTGTCTGCCGATGCTAAGAATCTCATTAGCCAGGTAAATTGATTAGTACTTGTCTACGCTTTAGTTCTGTAAGAAGAAACAATGACATGCAATAGCTTGCACTCCTTAACTCTAGTGATTGTTTTACCTTTGCCCTTTGCAGCTTCTTGTGAAGGACTCTTCTAAAAGGCTCTCTCTTCGAAAGATCATGGAGCATCCTTGGATAATTAAGAATATAACTGGTTAGTTAAAGCGCGGTGTAGTGAAAGTAGCAGATCCCACAATGTTATTTGCCTTCTGGTGTTTCGACTCTTTTCCCTATTACGTATGAAGTGTAATCATCTTGATTCCAATAGTTTGTATCAGATGGAGTGAAGAATTGTTGGTGGACATTGATATAGTTTCCTAGAAATAGTTGTGTATTCTCATCTGTTCAAGCCATAGTAGATAGAGTTTTACTTGCTGGTAGGAGGTGGTAGGTACCTCGTGGAATTAGTCGAGGTGCGTGCAAGTTGGCCCAGACACCACCATTATCAGGAAAAAAAGAAAAGAAAAGAAATAGTTGTGTATCGTTTGCATATTTCTTTCCTGGATGTTCTATTAATTTATATCATCTTCCTTATCCATTTTTTTTGTGTTTGTTATAGAGGTGTCAAATGGGCGGGTTGGGTCAATTTTGGGCGGGTTAAAATGAGTTGAGTCAATAATTGGGCGGGTCAAATGACCCGATCAAAAGTTACTTCGCTTAAGATGGGTTGAGTCAAGATGGGCTAAAATTCGGGTCATAACCCAACCTGCCCGACTCTTATTAAGCTTTAATTAATGTGTTGTTTTCTTATAAATTATATAATTACTAAATAATTTTTTTTTCTTTTGTTATGGTCATATATAATATATCAAACAAAAATAAAATTATTTCTAAGATATTTTGACAAAAGTTACTCATGGATCAATTTGGGCTAAAAAGTAGCCCAACTTGAGATGGATTAGGTTAAAATGAACTAAGTTCAATAAATGGGCGGGTCAATAACCAATCCAATCTTGGACGGATTGGGCGGGTCATTTGGGCTTGGGCCAAATTTGACAGCTCTAGTTATAATTGATTTCTTTTATGGAATGCCTAAAGATTATGATGTAACTTAAAAGTATGTTAAAATATCATTGTATAGCCAGTTTTCACACTGGTCAATGAAAAATAGCCAGCGTTTATCAAGTCAATAAAAAATAGCCACTATTTTGCTGCAACAGGGACCGGTCCAGTATAATATACGGGAGTTCTGGTGCATTTGTGTACGAACTCCAGCATATTATGCTGGACCGGTATACTTTGCTAACTCCTGTAAAATTTGCGGGAGACTGGAGCACCAGTGCTCCAAACTCCAGTATATTATACTGGACAATTATACTTGCTGGAACTCCCGTGAAATTTGCGGGAGTTCCAGCATAATTATGCTTGAACTCCCGTAAAATTTACGGGAGTTCAAGCATACTTATGCTGGAACTCCCGTAAAATTTGCGGGCGTATTTTTCCGGATTTTGAACAGTGTTTTCGCTCAGATTTAAAGTGGCTAAATTTCGATGACTTTTGAAACTTGGTTATTTTTCAACGACCAGTGGTAAATCTGGCTATTTTTGAATTTCTCCCTTAAAGTATTTGATCGAAATTAAAGGAGAAACTGTCATCCCAGTCAACAATTGGAATGCCTTGAACCTGACATGTCACTTTGCTCATTCATATATTGTAAGTTAATTAATTCCTTAACTAACCTAAATCCTTATGTTTAGTCTAAACCCAAGATAGTTTTCTTTCCCCAGCTTAAACCGAAGTAAATGTGTATATCAACTTGATAGCCTATCAAATATAAGAATCAAAGCATGAAACCAACAATTAATATTTGATTGAATGAAATCTCCTAAACTTGTAAAACAACATGTTCCATAAAAAGAAAGTATACATATCTCTTCCTCACGGATATTGTCCGTATGGGGAGAACAAATTCATTTAGACATCAAAAGTGAGGCCATTCTATGTTGACCATCGAATGTATATGCAATATGTGCCTATTAGACACGAGACGGTGATATGACACAACCCGAGACTCACATATCTTGAGCGTGTGAACTTATTAAAATCTAAAATAACAAGAATTTTAACAAAAATAATGGTTTACAAGCCTAATTTGTTGGACAATAGGTCATGACTTCATTTGATGTGTCTAAAAGAATTTTTTTGACAAGTTTAAAAGGTTGTATATACGTTTTCAGCCATTAACCCAAATACTAAAAGGCAAGAGTTTAATTAAAAAAAACATGAGGGTCAATTTGCAGGTATGAGTAGTGAAGAGTAAGCTATGGTTGTTTTTTGTTATGCTTTTATGTATGTTGTTTCACTGCACATAAGTAGTTATGCCAAAATGGTTAAATGAAATAATTTACCCATATTATCTATTAAAAAATGGATCGGATACTGAACTTTTTTAAAACGGGTCAAATATGGATAAGAACTATATTATCCATTTAGAAAATGGATAGACAATAGATAACTAATGCGTAGGGATGTACAAAGGAAACCGACAAACCGCACCAACCCGATAATCCGAGTCAAACCGAGAAAAAAACTCGATTATGGTTTGGTTTGATTTGGTTTGGTGTTGGGAAAAAAACCCGACCATAATTGGCTTGGTTTGATTTTAATTGAAGAAAGTCAAACCGTAACCAAACCAACCCGACATTACATATATAGAAATTTTAGATATATTTAATATATAAATTGTGATGTAATTTATAAATATTTCTTAAAAAATTTCATAATTTTATCTTTTAAGGTATTATTTCAAGGTTGGACTTAGAACTTTTAAATGTTCTAATAAGTTTTACAGCCATTAATATTAGTAAATTAAATAATGCTAACAAAAGCCCAAACCAAAATCAAATCAATACTAATGCTAACAAAAGACATTCAATTCATTACACGAACATGAATGTATTAAATATCTATTTTTCGTTTTACAATAATTTAGATTAAAATGCATAATCTATTTTTATTTTTTCTTTAGCGTTTAGTCATGTAATTAATACTCCCTTATTAGTCTACTTATTTTAGCATGATTATTACTTTTTGATTATGTTTTTTCTTATTTTGGCATTTTAATTAGCAATATTTATATTACATAATTTTATTGTCTTTATTGTTGAATATTTTAGGATAATGCCATGACACATCTCATATTTTGTATTATTTTATTCGAAAATACTTTATATAGTTGTATCTTGATCACGCCCAACTATGCCTTATAAAAAGGACAATGCGGTCGTTGCAAATATAATCCGGTTTACAAGTCCGGAGTCGAATCCCACAGAGAACTAAGGTTTAGCTACAACTGTTCACTATCACCAAGAAGACAAGCTTGAACAATTCCTAACTTATAGATATCAAGATTCTTGTGTTTAACTACTTAACTAACAAATTAAATGGTAAATTAACAACTAACGATACTGAGGGTTAGAGAAAAGATTAAGGAGGTCTAGAGTTATGATTTCCCCTATTGTCGGAATCCTTCCCGCTATGTCTTCTATAATTTCGCCTAAGTATTCTCTACCGATCATGAGCACTCTTATTGCCGTAAATCTCTCCCGAGCAATTACGACAATTTACTAGACGCACTCTCCCGAGCTACGCTAGCTGGCTTTTAATACAGCTCACTTCAGATCGCACCCAAGGCTTCGTTATCCCTAATCCCACCTTTAAACCCTCGGTTATTGATCCCTCATATACTCTGGGAGTGGTGTTGTTCAACAATTACCTAAATATGCACTCTCTCCCGAGTTATGCATACTAAATAGGCACAGCTAATTGAGAGCTCTTCAATCAACCAGAATATAAACGTAGTTGAACAAATAGAGAAAAGCTATGGCTCAATTAAAACATAACAAGAATTTATCCTACAAAAGGTTCTATCAAAACTCTAGATAACAAATTAGCTATTCATAATAGTATGTAAAACTACAATACTAAAAGTCATAACCAACAATGAAAAATAGGAAGAGGAAGGAAAAACTCGTAGAAGAATTCTCCGCCTTGCTCCCAATGTGTTCTTGCCTCCAAGGGTGTTGTCTAACCCTAAAGTAGTGTCTCCTGCCTCCTTAGGTCTAATTTATGTCCAAAATATGTCCCCCTCTTGTTCTTGGCCGGCCTCCTTTGTTTAATATAGGGTTTAGGACTTAAAATCCCATGTTTTACACTTTAGTCCCTGAAATTTTCGCTTCCTGCCGCGGTCCCACCGCGGTCGCGGTGGAACCGCGGCCAAACATGCCCTCTGATTCTTCAGTTGTCCGCGACCATCTTCTACCGCGGTTCTGCCGCAGTCGTGGCAAAACCGCAGTTTTTTACCCTGTTCCGTTTGGAATTTGGAAAAAAGTAAAACATGAAAGTTGTAGCTCTTTGAGTTAGATTTCCAACCATATATTGTGGAGCCCAAATGGAGTTCTGAGCAAAAAGTTATGTCTATTTTACTAGACAATGCGCAATATGCCTCCTCAAGTCTTCGTTCGTACTTAATTATCAAATTTGACCTCCGAACACGATCCCGGCTTAATTCCTTGAGCTTTTACTCAGACTTCAAAGCTTCAAATCACTTAAATTCATTCCATAACATCTATATAGCTCGGAATCACACCTACAAGGCATAAAACACACAATTAGTGCAAAACACTAGCGATTAAAGCGCAAACTCAATTAAAGTGCAGTAAATTCGAGTGTAATAAGCGACTAAAATATGCAATTATAGCCTATCATCATATCTTACTAGGATTAAAGAAATATTTTGAGCACAAGTTATATGTTTTGTTCTACGAAGATTTTACCGGAAAAAAAACCCGAATAACCCAAAAACCCGAGAAAACCCGAGATTGAAAAACTCGAGTTTTATTGGATTGGATTGGTCTTTAGATTTAATAACCCGGCACAATTGATTTGGTTTGGTATAATAAAATTCGAACCAACCCGACCTATATACACCCCTACTAATGCGTTCTAATTTTACATTTTTAAAGCCTCAAATTGGGGGTTCCTCAAGTTTGGGAGGCTAAATATTCTCCCAAAAGTGATCATATTCAAGAAGTAATGGATAATATGGTTACTCATATTATCCGTCGGTTCACTCATTTTTTATTCGAGTTGGGTCTGATAATTTATCCGTTTTTTCATTACCCTTTTTGACCCATCTCATATCTGACCCGACCCGCCCGTTTGACACCCCTATCCATAAGTTAATAAATATACTACAAGTTGGTACATGGAGTTAATACTTACCTTATTCAACATATGGAAATATTGCAGTAATATAACTTTATTTAGCACATTCACATAGTTCATTTAAATTAGATGGTAACAAAATCTAACGCATCCTGCACTTTTGTTACTAAAATTGTTAAAGCAAGTGCTAGCAACTTACCTTGAAACTTATAATCTAACATGTAGATTGAACCCCTTTTCACTTAAGTAACTAGGTAGAAATACAACTATGAGTACAAGCTAAAGGAGTAAATTAAATTGATTTCTAAACATGCAACAGATACTTGCAGTATAGATAATAGAGTTACAAAATTGTACATTTGTGTTTTTTCC